CAAGCATGAAATTGATAGATGTGACTGAATGTAGGCCAATAGTATAGTTCTCTCTGTTTTCTCAGACTAAATAGCCTTGGTTTCTCAAATGACTGCCTCGCCTGGTTCACCAACTACTTCTCAGATAGAGTTCAATGTGTGAACTTGGGCCGACTCTTTTCTCCGTGTATATCAATGATGTCGCTCTTGCTGCTGGTGACTCTCAGATCCACCTCTACGCAGACGACACCATTTTGTATACATCTGGCCCTTCATTGGACACTGTGTTAACAAACCTCCAAACGAGCTTCAATGCCATACAACACTCCTTCAGTAGCCTCCAACTGCTCTTAAACACTAGTAAAACTAAATGCATGCTCTTCAATCGAACGCTGCTGGCACCCGCCCACCCGACTAGAATCACCACTCTCGACGGGTCTGACCTAGAGTATGTGGACAACTACAAATACCTAGGTGTCTGGTTAGACTGTAAACTCTCCTTCCAGACTCACATTAAGAATCTCCAATCCAAAGTTAAATCTAGAATCGGCTTCCTATTTCGCAACAAAGCCTCCTTCACTCATGCTGCCAAACATGCCCTCGTAAAACTGACTATCCTACCGATCCTTGACTTCGGCGATGTCATTTACAAAATAGCCTCCAACACTCTACTCAGCAAATTGGATGTAGTCTATCACAGTGCCATCCGTTTTGTCTCCAAAGCCCCATACACTACCCACCACTGTGACCTGTACGCTCTTGTTGGCTGGTCCTCACTACATGTTCGTCGTCAAACCCACTGGCTCCAGGCCATCTTTAAATCACTGCTAGGCAAATCCCCGCCTTATCTTAGCTCATTGGTCACCATAGCAGCACCCACCCGTAGTCTGCGCTCCAGCAGGTATATCTCACTGGTCATTCCCAAAGCCAACACCTCCTTTGGCCGCCATTCCTTCCAGTTCTCTGCTGCCAATGACTGGAACGAATTACAAAAATCTCTGAAGCTGGAGACTCTTATCTCCCTCACTAACTTTAAGCATCAGTTGTCAGAGCACCTTACCGATCACTGCACATGTACACAGCCCATCTGAAATTAGCCCACTCAACTACCTCATCCCTATATTGTTATTTATTTTGCTCTTTTGCACCCCAGTATCTCTATTTGCACATAATCTCTTGCACATCTAGCATTCCAGTGTTAATACTAATTGTAATTATTTTGCACTATAGCCTATTTATTGCCTTACCTCCATAACTTGCTACATTTGCACACACTGTATATATATTTTCTGTTGTATTTTATGACCTTATGTTTTTTTTTACCCCATATGTAACTCTGTGTTGTTGTTTTTATCGCACTGCTTTGCTTTATCTTGGCCAGGTCGCAGTTGTAAATGAGAACTTGTTCTCAACTGGCTTACCTGGTTAAATAAAGGTGAAAAAAAAAAAAAGCTTTTATTTCTAGTTTATTATTTTAAAGATGTCCTTCAGTGATTTGTTTTACTTTTAAAAGCGATATCTCAAATTGAAATACAGTAAAGTACACACACTAAAGGATAAAAAAATACATTTTGAGCAAAAAAGTGTTTTTTAGACACAACTGCAAACTTCAAGGAGTAGGGCATTCAAGGGGTTGGTCTGATGGGAATCCGTGATGTCATCGGCCTCCCCCTTTACTTGAGGGACAACAGAGGAGCAACATAGAACAAAAGAGGAAAGCCCCCCCATCCCCCACCTTCACTGGTGCTATGTCATGACATACCTGGACCACCTATTGAGATGTGCCTTTTTTTAAGTAAATCAGGTGTTAAATTACAGTGAGGAAAAAAGGTATTTGATCCCCTGCTGATTTTGTACGTTTGCCCACTGACAAAGAAATGATCAGTCTATACTTTTTATGGTAGGTTTATTTGAACAGTGAGAGACAGAATAACAACAAAAAAATCCAGAAAAACACATGTCAAAAATGTTATAAATTGATTTGCATTTTAATGAGGGAAATAAGTATTTGACCGCTCTGAAAAACATGACTTAGTACTTGGTGGCAAAACCCTTGTTGGCAATCACATAGGTCAGACGTTTCTTGTAGTTGGCCACCAGGTTTGCACACATCTCAGGAGGGATTTTGTCCCACTCCTCTTTGCAGATCTTCTCCAAGTCATTAAGGTTTCGAGGTTGACGTTTGGCAACTCGAACCTTCAGCTCCCTCCACAGATTTTCTATAGAATTAAGGTCTGGAGACTGGCTAGGCCACTCCAGGACCTTAATGTGCTTCTTCTTGAGCCACTCCTTTGTTGCCTTGGCCGTGTGTTTTGGCTCATTGTCATGCTGGAATACCCATCCACGACCCATTTTGAATGCCCTGGCTGAGGGAAGGAGGTTCTCACCCAAGATTTGACGATACATGGTCCCTTTGATGCGGTGAAGTTGTCCTGTCCCCTTAGCAGAAAAACACCCCTAAAGCATAATGTTTCCACCTCCATGTTTGACGGTGGGGATGGTGTTCTTGGGGTCATAGGCAGCATTCCTCCTCCTCCAAACACGGCGAGTTGAGTTGATGCCAAAGACCTCGATTTTGGTCTCATCTGACCACAACACTTTCACCCAGTTCTCATTTGAATCATTCAGATGTTCATTGGCAAACTTCAGATGGGCCTGTATATGTGCTTTCTTGAGCAGGGGGACCTTGCGGGTGCTGCAGGATTTCAGTCATTTACGGTGTAGTGTGTTACCAATTGTTTTCTTGGTGACTATGGTCCCAGCTGCCTTGAGATCATTGACAAGATCCTCCCGTGTAGTTCTGGGCTGATTCCTCACCGTTGTCATGATCATTGCAACTCCATGAGTTGAGATCTTGCATGGAGCCCCAGGCCGAGGGAGATTGACAGTTCTTTTGTGTTTCTTCCATTTGCGAATATTCGCACCAACTGTTGTCACCTTCTCACCAAGCTGCTTGGCAATGGTCTTGTAGCCCATTCCAGCCTTGTGTAGGTCTACAATCTTGTCCCTGACATCCTTGGAGAGCTCTTTGGTCTTGGCCATGGTGGAGAGTTTGGAATCTGATTGATTGATTGCTTCTGTGGACAGGTGTCTTTTATACAGGTAACAAACTGAGATTAGGAGCACTCCCTTTAAAAGTGTGCTCCTAATCTCAGCTCGTTACCTGTATAAAAGACACCTGGGAGCCAGAAATATTTCTGATTGAGAGGGGGTCAAATACTTATTTTCCTCATAAAAAAAAAAAATCAATTTATAAAAATTTTGACATGCGTTTTTCTGGATTTTGTTGTTGTTATTCTGTCTCTCACTGTTCAGATAAACCTACTATTACAATTATAGACTGATCATGTCTTTGTCAGTGGGCAAACGTACAAAATCAGCAGGGGATCAAATACTTTTTTCCCTCACTGTAGGTGAAAATGAGACTAGAGTGCTGCTTTAAATGTATGTAGTTCTGTCCTTGATCTGTTTTTGTCTATTATTGTTTTGTATTATGTTATGTTTTGTATGGACCCCAGGAAGAGTAGTTGCTTCTTTTACATTGCCCAGACATGCATATGTTGAGAAATGTGGATAATTAAGGTCACACCACATCCAAGGCTAATGTAAGGATAGTGTAAACAGAAAAGTTGCATATTTGATGTTGAAGAAAGGCGGAACATCACATATTTTGAAAATGTAAAGACAGCCAAAGACTCTGGGAAAAGATTATCACTCTATAGAATAGAACAGTATAGAATATTACAGTATAGAATAGAATACTTTATACTTGCCTCTAGAAATGTAACATTGCCAATTAAAGGCTGCAGTCTCTGGGCAGATTGAATAATTCTCACATTGACCACTGGAAAATGATTTCTACTCAACATATTGGAAGCTATTATGAGACCAATGTGTGATTAATATAACTTAATGGGTAGAATACAATAAGTAAATAATGACATGGCACAATGACAAAATTATATGTTATTTGTTTGTCTACTTATATTTTTACATTTTAGTCATTTAGCAGATGCTCTTATCCAGAGCGACTTACAGGAGCAATTAGGGTTAAGTGCCTTGCACAAGGGCACATCAACAGATTTTTCACCTAGTCGGCTCGTGGATTAGAGCCTGCGATCTTTCGGTTACTGGCACAACGCTCTTAACCACTAAGCTACCTGCCGCCCCATTGGCAATGTAATTTCTTGTAAGTATAGCAAAATAGTTAAATAGCAGAATAGTTCATATTTTCCACTGTTTTCTGACTGTGGTGTACAGCCCTTATATTTCTTATGGGGCAGTTGGCTTTTAAAATGTATCCACATTTTATGCACAACTGATAAGTCTATGTATCAAAATGTAATCAGAATAGTTCAGAGATTGTTCAAGAATAATAATTAATCAATCACTCAAATGAGAAATTAATATCATAATGTGCATGGACAAATATTCAATATGTTCTTATTCTAAACACTAAAACTAATTTTTAAGTGCCCTAGACTTTATTTTTTGTTTGGTACAGAATTAAGATCAGAAACGAATTTGATGAAGATTAATATCCTCAATATTACAGACATTTTTAAGTCAGAAATAGTTTTCCCCATGTTTTAGGCTTGTCACAAAGACACGCATGTACTATTTGACCGGGCGCTTGAGCCCAGTGAGTCTCATGAGAGCATTCCAGTTTGGTAAAGTCAGTTTGGAATTTGAATAGCACGGAAGAACCGCCTCTGTCTGATTGGGCCTGATCATCTCATATGGGTGGAGTTTCCATGTCAATCAAAGGCAAACGCGGGTCCCTATTGGCGAAGGCCAAGGTGGGCAGACTCCTCGTCTCCTTCTCCAAATATATATACTCTGTCAACGTGTGCCTAGCAAATGATTGCTTGCTCGCGTACAGAGGGAAGCGGACAGCCGTGTTCAATGTTTCACCACAGAGCTGATTTAGCCTTCGCCCCCAAACGAAATATCGTGACTTCCACTGAGAGAAAGTCGCTTTTCTGCGTCGGAGAGGAGCGGGAAACGACTATATCACCATCATGATCAACACGATGGAGTGTGCAGAGGATGCACAAAGTCTAATCTCCATTTCCTTACGGAAGATCCACAACTCCAGGACGCAGAGAGGAGGCATCAAGCTGCACAAAAATCTCCTGGTGTCCTATGTGTTGCGGAACGCCAGGCAGGTCTACATGAACGAGAAGTACGCGGAGATTTACAGGATGCAGCAGTACGAAGAGGTGATGACCGTCTGCAACGAGATCCAGGAGTTAAACCCACTGGATTTGGCCGAGGACTGTGAGGAGCAGAGTGGGGACTGCTGCGGCAACGGCGGGGTGAGCGAGCCGGCGAGTCTGTGCTGCGCGCTGCTGCCAGTGAGCCACCTAGCAGCAGTGCATTCAGCGCATATGCAAACCCCCTCCGCCTGTTCCGCGCCTCTCTCTCGCCAAAGCGACGAGGTCTGCAAGGAGACAGAGCCCTCGTTCTACCAGAGCTGTTGTGCCGAGGATTACCCTGTATCGAATTGCGACTTTTCCCCGGTGAACAACAATTTACACTGCAACAAAACGACGGTGCTCGATTTGGACACGCACGTAGTGACTACTGTGGAGAATGGGTACCTTCACCAGGACTGCTGCGCGTCTCTCCAACAGTGCTGCCAGGGCGCACCGTACCCAGCCAAGAAACGCAAGGTTGACTTTGAATATTATATATCTGATATTGAGGAGGTACCGGATTTTACGCCTTGTAAAATAGCGAAATTCGAGGACTGTTCCTATGCAAATTCGGAACACTTGGACACTTCGAACATTTCCAATCTGATCTCGATCTTCGGTTCGGGGTTTTCGGGGCTGGTGAGCAGACAGGCGGACTTTGAGCAAGCCTTAGCCTTGAACGGACAGTTCTGTAGCAAACAAGCCCAAGCGAGTCTCGGGGCATGGACTAGAGCTATAGTTGCTTTTTGACTCCATGGTAAACTAGAATAAAACACTTTATGAAATTGTACAAAGTCTAAATCAAATCGGCTTTATTTTTTTGCAAGAAAGGGTATTTCGTCCCCTGTAGCTCAGTTGGTAGAGCATGGCGCTTGCAACGCCAGTGTTGTGGGTTCGTTTCCCACGGGGGGCCAGTATGAAAATGTATGCACTCACTAACTGTAAGTCGCTCTGGATAAGAGCGTCTGCTAAATGACTAAAATGTAAACATTGAACCGTTTGTTTGACGACTTTCGTTTTCACAGGGAGGGAGAGAAAGGTTGTTGCCACATGCGATGTGCAAGCTTTAATTTTAATCTGAAAATGTCTACATAACGAATTCTACATAATAGTTGTGAATTGTATCTAACGAAGTTGATTTCGTTGCCTTAAACCCAACGCATACTACTGGTAGCTATTGTTGCAAACATTGAAAGTGGTTGAATGTCTCGCTCTCGGATTATGTTGATGATCTCTCCAGAACAGTTTTGAACACAATGTTTCGTTTTAAGACCCTACACAAGGAGTGTGACTGAATAGCAACCATATAATGTAGCCTCAGCTCTAACCTAACTGGAAAAGTGTGCCCAACATGCTTTGCAACATGCTTTTGTTGTGCGTCGTGGTTTCATACGGTAAATAACTAACAGAAAGCTGTAACAGGCTACTACACAAGCATTGTTTTGTTGTACTTGGTTATCATGTATCTCTCGGTTGATATTTAAACCTTGGGTTATTCTAAGCACATCAGTAGTACATCAGTAGTAGGCTATGTTACACGGGAACTAGATGGTACATTCTGAACACATATAAATTGACAGGTGAAGGCGCAATGGTTCAGACTTAAATTTCCCTCTCAAACTCGTGGGTGCATTAACTCTGAACCAGCTTGCGGTGTCTCCATTGATGTGCTAGTTGTACCCAACTTCCCACCTCACCTCTGATCAAAACCATTCATTAGGCTACTCCAACTCCCAGAGTGCATGTGTAATGTAATAAATCCAGGTATTTTTTTAGTTTGGTCTGTTGAGCGCCCCCCCCTCCCTCCCACTGAACATATAACAAAAAGTTATTGATCAAGCCTTCATAGTAATTCATGATGCCAACATGGCTTGGTTTTGTGAGTTTTTTAAATGTATTTTCTAAAATTTTATGACCTTTTGTTCTAAAAAGGCAATTTCATGATTTAGCCATACATCCACACATTATAAGCACTATGTGTACTGAAATAAAGATGTGTTTCCAGACGTCCTCTTCATATTTTGTTGGTATTCTTGTATTTTTGTGCATATTAAATTGTATATCACCGGGTAAAACTGTTTAAGAAAATATTTGTTAAATTTATAAACTTAATAAAAAATTGAAAACAAATCAATACTCCTTGATTTATTGTTTGAATGGCACATGCTGGTCAAATGTTCTTTCCCTGAAACTAGAGTCAAGTCATAATCGCATGAAGTTTGTGAGGGATTCTGTGTCATTCTGTCAGCTACTGCAATGAGGTAGGCATATTTGGGAACCAGTGTTACAAAAGAAGAATGGGTCCTTCATTCACTGATATGTTGCATAGGCCTACACCACATTATCCCCTCACATCATTGTAGGTAACTTAGTTGTGTAGCTGTAACAATGGTCATTTTAAGACTTCCTCTAGACCAGGAATACCTGGTTATCAACACAAAGATATCCATGAATTATATGTATTTTGGGATACTACATTTCATTCCAAGAACCTCATAGCATAGCCAATCTGAAGACACTTCTGGTTCACTAGACATTTTTGGACTATTATTTACAGCATTATTGTTATTGATAAATGGGGCATCCGTGTTTAAATGTAAGAAAAAAGTAGCCTGATGTGAGTTGTTACAACTTGGTTGTTACAACCATGTGGAGTGCAACGCTGTAAGAACAATGGAGGATATTTGATATATAATAGTGTTTTTAAAACTGGTCTAGTTGAGAAAAGGCAGTGGCTAATTTTTTGTCCAAACTCACATAGGACTGTCTGTGCTTGGTTAGTTAGTGCACGCTCTGGCCGACTGAGACTCTGCTGTGCGCGTGCGCCTTTTTTGTCCGGCATTTTCCCCCAAACTTGCAGTCGTGTTATCTCTGCTATATGCCACTTGGTGGTGTTCTTCGAAATCAATGAATGACGGTATTAGAAAGCCTTTGTAGCGGCACCTCGGGCTGATCTGGGCTTCGCTGCCGCTGCTCCCCCCTCCCCCGGTCATCCACTCCGCTTCCCATCCCTCCTGTCTCCCTCGTTTTTATTCCAACCCGAAACCTCTCGACTCCTCTCAATTTGAGATACCGCAGTACGTCCAACACGTCAAAGCAGCTATAGGTTTAGTCTAACGTACTCTTTCAAGTCTCGATTGCCGGAACTCTTTTCCATTAGCCTTTGTGCATTTTAATTTGGTATAGGTAGGTCGTAAATATAAAGTTTAACTAACTATGCGGGGTCGGTTTACTTAGATTATACTATTTTTTAGCATGATTTGACGATACTACGACAAATAATGGAACATCTACTATGCGTTGTATAACCTATAGATTACAGTTAATTTAGACATTTTAGACGAACGGTTAATGGACATCTGATTGTGCTTTGTTATTCTCTCGAATTCGATTATTATTTGGAGCATTAGGTCGCAATACACCGCTTTCATCTCAAGAAAGCGATCTGTAAAATAATTTTATATAATAAACCTTTAAAATGAAAGCGTTCTTCTCCCACAGATACAAATATTGTGGATTAGGGTTCGTTTAGTGGTGTAGAGCGAGCTCCTCCGCGTGGATTCCAAAGGAATAGCATCTATCTCAGCAATAATTTTACAGATTGGTGCAGTCAGAAAATGTTGTTTCACGTTACAATGACACAACTGGCCCTATTACAATGTATTTGTTTATTTGGATCCTCATTAGTCCAGCTGATAGGTGAAATATATATTTTAAAATTGTATAATACAAGTATCAAACTTGGTACACTAATACTAGATACCTTAAGGAACATTTTAAAGATTGGAGGCAGTCTGTGCAGCCTGTCAGTCAACCAGGGCGGCCATTTAAATAAAATGGCTGCCATCCGGATTCCCTTCTAGAAGAAAATAGGGTAAAATCATTCCAAACAATATCAAAATGACTTTGTAATGTTATCTACCCACTGAATAAACCCCACAGATAATATAGACAATAATTCTAATCATAAAGTACTCTTAAGACCTTAATAGGGGTCATGTTGAGGTCATTTTGACCATATTCCAGGAGCTATGTGACCACATTGTGGAATTTGTGATAGAGCCACCAAATTTCACACACAGCTAGAGCATGTCTAAATAAGTATTTTTGGCTATAGTGCCATCACAAATTTAGTCCATTACCCCACTGGCTGTCATTTGTATGCAGAGGTAGTGGCTCACGAACAGGTAACTGAAGGTTTGTCTAGTTAACTTTGTAAAAAAATTTTTTATGAACATACATTTGTGCCAGGTGAACAATGAGACACAACAATAAGATAAGGCAGCTAGCTGGTAGATACACAAATGAAACATTTACGATTTATGTTACAATGACTAGATAGAGTGAACAGCTGTGCTGGGATGAAGTCAGGGTAAACAAATACAGTGGGGAAAAAAGTATTTAGTCAGCCACCAATTGTGCAAGTTCTCCCACTTAAAAAGATGAGAGAGGCCTGTAATTTTCATCATAGGTACACGTCAACTATGACAGACAAATTGAGGAAAAAAAATCCAGAAAATCACATTGTAGGATTTTTTATGAATTTATTTACAAATTATGGTGGAAAATAAGTATTTGGTCACCTACAAACAAGCAAGATTTCTGGCTCTCACAGACCTGTAACAACTTCTTTAAGAGGCTCCTCTGTCCTCCACTCGTTACCTGTATTAATGGCACCTGTTTGAACTTGTTATCAGTATAAAAGACACCTGTCCACAACCTCAAACAGTCACACTCCAAACTCCACTATGGCCAAGACCAAAGAGCTGTCAAAGGACACCAGAAACAAAATTGTAGACCTGCACCAGGCTGGGAAGACTGAATCTGCAATAGGTAAGCAGCTTGGTTTGAAGAAATCAACTGTGGGAGCAATTATTAGGAAATGGAAGACATACAAGACCACTGATAATCTCCCTCGATCTGGGGCTCCAAGCAAGATCTCACCCCGTGTGGTCAAAATGATCACAAGAACGGTGAGCAAAAATCCCAGAACCACACGGGGGGACCTAGTGAATGACCTGCAGAGAGCTGGGACCAAAGTAACAAAGCCTACCATCAGTAACACACTACGCCGCCAGGGACTCAAATCCTGCAGTGCCAGATGTGTCCCCCTGCTTAAGCCAGTATATGTCCAGGCCCGTCTGAAGTTTGCTAGAGTGCATTTGGATGATCCAGAAGAGGATTGGGAGAATGCCATATGGTCAGATGAAACCAAAATAGAACTTTTTTTGGTAAAAACTCAACTCGTCGTGTTTGGAGGACAAAGAATGCTGAGTTGCATCCAAAGAACACCATACCTACTGTGAAGCATGGGGGTGGAAACATCATGCTTTGGGGCTGTTTTTCTGCAGAGTGGCCAGGACGACTGATCTGTGTAAAGGAAAGAATGAATGGGGCCATGTATCGTGAGATTTTGAGTGAAAACCTCCTTCCATCAGCAAGGGCATTGAAGATGAAACGTGGCTGGGTCTTTCAGCATGACAATGATCCCAAACACACCGCCCGGGCAACGAAGGAGTGGCTTCGTAAGAAGCATTTCAAGGTCCTGGAGTGGCCTAGCCAGTCTCCAGATCTCAACCCCATAGGAAATCTTTGGAGGGAGTTGAAAGTCCGTGTTCCCCAGCGACAGCCCCAAAACATCACTGCTCTAGAGGAGATCTGCATGGAGGAATGGGCCAAAATACCAGCAACAGTGTTTGAAAACCTTGTGAAGACTTACAGAAAACGTTTGACCTGTGTCATTGCCAACA